CACACACACACAAGGCAGGCGCACACACACGAGGCAGGGAAACACACACGAGGCAGGTACACACACACACAAGGCAGGCACACACACGAGGCAGGTACACACACACAAGGCAGGCACACACACGAGGCAGGCGCGCGCACACACACATTCTCACACTCAAGGCAGGCACACACACATTCGAGGCAGACACACACACACGAGGCAGGCGCACACACACGAGGCAGGCACACACACGAGGCAGGCACAAACACACACACGCGCGAGGCAGGCCAGTACTCACCTGGGTGGCTCTCTGTCCCACGTGGAACTCCTGCTTCAGCCACAACAGGTAGCTCTGGCTTAGGCGGCGCCCCTGCTGATCAGGCACAGCGGAAAGGCAAAAGCTTCAAGAGGGAACAAGCAGGGAAAGTGTGGGGGCAGAGGGAAGTGGGCTGGGCTTCAGAGGTGACAAAACCAGAAGGAACAGATGAAAGGGGAGGGGCTGCCTGCAATTTCTCCCCAGACTTTCCTGGGATGCTCAGCCCCCAGGACCAGAGACAAGAGCTGGACCAGGGCATGCAAAGGGGTAGAGGAGAGGGGGAGGGATGGGGACCAGGGCATGCAAAGGGGTAGAGGAGAGGGGGAGGGATGGGGAAGCCCAGGTCCTCACCCCGGGAGACTACAGTCCCGTACTTCTCAAGCATCACGTCCCAGTACAGCTCCTTCTGTGATGCATCCAGCAGCCCCCATTCCTCCTGCAGGGACACGAGCAGGTCACCATGTGCACCTGCCCACCCCACGGCGTCCAGATGATCTAGTGCTGCATGATGGGAGTCAGGAGCATCAAGACTCCTCAAGAAAACCAACCCACAAGAAAGCCAAGTGCCAGCATCCTTCCCTCCAGCTGAGAGCCACAGCCAGCCCTGAGCCTGGAGTGCTGGCAGGGATGGGGGGACTGCTCACCTGCATCCTGGCAGGAAGGAGGGATGAACAGGTTGGCCTCTCATCTTCAAGTTCCCTCCTGGAAGACTGAGCTGGAAGTGGGCAGGCCAGGGGAGCTGGAAGCAAGGGTGAACCCCCAGGGCTGCCGTGGCCCCCCTCACCCATCTGCTGCCTGCCAACAGCTGGCTCCTCCTTCACGCTGCAGCTGAGCTGGGCTGGACCCTCCCCAGGGGCTGCCCCACAGGGCTCTGCGGAGCCCGAAGGGAGGAGACTTGACGACACTTCGGCCTTCTGGGGTGCTGGAGGTACTTCACGCCCTAGGACATGGGCCGTGATCTGAGGAAGAGGCAAGTCTCAGGGTTCTAGCATTTCTCCCCTCTCTCTCCATTTTAACGTTGTTTTAATCAAGTAACAGATTTCTGATGGGTTCTATCATTTTGTCCCTTCCAAAAACCTCTGAAGCTTTGGGCAGTGGCAATACTGCAAGCCAGTGAGGTTTATCTGCTTAATCATAATTGAACACTTTTCCCAAAAGCCACTGCAAGGCTGGGCCACTGCTGGTCACACTCACCCAGCCCAAGAGCTGCCCAGGGTCATGCTGCAGGCCTTCCACCAGGGCCACCACCTCCTCAGGGGTGCCTGGATGCTGCTCACGAACCCAGGCCTGGATCTCGGGGGGCAGCACCCCCAGGAACTGCTCCAGCACCAGCAGCTCCAGCATCTGCTCCTTGGAACGAGCCTCGGGCCGCAGCCACTGGTGGCACAGCTGGCGCAGCCGGGCCAGGGCCTCGAGGGGCCCAGCTGCTTCCTGGTAGCGGAAGCTTCGGAAGCTCAGGCGGGCGGCCTCCAGCTCCTCCAAGGTGGCTGCGGGGTCCACAGGGGTTAGCGTCGGAGGACGCAGTGGGGACGGCATCTTTGTGTGCATAGTCTTGCTGGAGTTTCTGGAAGTAATCTGCAGAAAACACTAAGTCAGTCTGTTGACCAGGGACACTGCCTAGGAATGCAAGTTATTTAAAGGCCCAAAGGACAAAAGAAAGAGGGCCCTGGGGCCAGGGGCTGGGAGACTGTGGGGATGTCAAAAAAAGCCTTGGAAGATCATCATCCAGCAAATGGCAAACATTCGGTACAAGGTGGAGGTCATTACTGGGAGACGGGGTGGGCAAGCAGAGAAAAGGCACCAGGACCTCCTGGGTTGGGCTGACACCAGTGGCTGTCAGGTGAGGAGACTGAGTTCACCACGCTCTGTGGGGTGCAGAGGTGCTGCAGGTGGGACTTCACAAAGTGAGGAACCAAGTGCATGTCAGGTGGCTGTAAGGACACTGACCACAGCAGACGGCTCGTGTGGTCAGCACAAGCAGAAGCCAAGTGAGGCTGAGCATGGAGAGCCCCATGATGGGCCGATAAGGAGGAGAGCAGGTCCTTCCGGAAGTCCGTCAGGCAGGACAGGTCCGTTCTGTGCTCCCAAGGATGCGGACAGAACCACTGTGAGGTTCGCTCTATGCTACCCAGAGAATGGATGGCTTCCATTTCTAAACGGGCTCCATGAATCAAGGCTTCAAGTTCTCCTTCCAGCAATACTGAGCTGGGAGGAGTTTTGGTCAGATCATGACCAGTCCTCAAGCCTGTCCGAGGAAGCCTTGGAACCTGTCCCTTGGAGTGGTCCAAAAAGCGGGAGAGGGAAGGATGTCTTCAGAGGGGAGGGGCCCAACGGCACTCTGGGCAGGAGTAAGTTTAGGGTGTGCAGATCGGTCAAAAGTTCAAGTCTCAATCCTGTCATTTTAACTTGACATTTGCCATCCAACTGCACTATCATTTCTGAGTAAATCAATCAATTTTTCTTATCAGAACCGTTATTCCTGTTACAGCATTTTATCAAGGTGTTCTTCCCTACACTTGGACAGTTTTCATTTATAGACTTGTGTTATCATTCATTCTTTCACTCCCACCATCAACAGAGGTAGTTGGTCATCTTACGCAGACAGAGTCATGCATTCCTATACTCAACAGATTCAATACACTGGCAACATTCCTTTCCAAAAGATTATTTTTTTACATTACTACTAATTTCGGAGATAAGTTCTATGGGACAAGTGACATTGCATTCCCTTACTATTCTGAGTTGAATGAAAAATTCTGACCATTTGAAGCAATTGTTGAGTATGATCAAGTCAGAACCAACTCATAGCTGACCCTCCAACAGGTTTTCAGAGGCGGTTAATGGTGTGGGAGGAAAGTGCCCATCTTTCTCTTATGTGGACTTTTTTTTTTGTTTCTGAAAACAAATTTTATTTAAATAAGTTTAAATACATAACATTAAAACTGAAAACGGTGGTGGGGGGAGAACAAGTTGTTCCTGCACAGGGCATTGGGCTGCTGTTGCTATCAAGCTGCAAGCTCTACAGCTAGCTTGGACTGATATGTCAGCTTGTTCCCTTGTCAAAAGTTTAACTCTGAAGTTTGCCTCACATCCTGGTGTATTCTGGGACAGACAAGGCTTCAGGATTATGTCTGGTCAGAAAGAACTAAGACCCTGGCGGTGGATAGATGTCCCATCTCACTCCTAAGCTCTGCCTGCTTTGCTGGGCTGAAGACACCAATGATCTTTCGTTATCACAGCTCCTTCTAGGGGTACAGCAGCCTCACCCCATCCTCTCAGCTCCATCTAGGGGTGCTCAGGTGCTGGGTTGGCCTTCTTTTGGGAGTAGGGGCATTTTGGGCTAGACATAGCCATCTATGATCTTGGGGATGTGTGTTTGGCTGAAACATCACGTTATTGCTTTGTTTCAGGCGGGACACTGTCAGGTGCCTACTGCTTGACCTCTGTTTAAATGAGGGACTTCCAGACTAGACAGCATGGCTCTTTTCAGTTTATTGCATGAAAGTGTTACACTAGTCCAAGTTAAAAGTGGACCCCAAATGGTTACATTATACAAGCTGTGAAGTTTTAAACTTGTGACAAGGGACAGAAGGGAAATTTTCTACTCATTGCAAGGAAATCCTCACGTAAGTTTCAGTGAGCCACAAGCGCTTAAAGCCCATGAGCCTTCAGCTGGTCGTCCTCAGCCAGTCCAGTCTCTACACGGAACTGGCACATGTTCTTGCGCTGGTCACCCTGCAGCTGAATTACTTCTCCATATTCTGGATGCTCAAGCACAGCACCATTGCAGGCAAACTTCTTAAACGCCTTCACTAGTTTCTTTTTATCGTGATCATCAGCGACCTCTTGGACAGTTGTAAGGGTCTTCCTGCCGTTTCTCTGTTGAATTCTTATATGGATATAATCCTCAGTCCCAGCAGGAAGCAGGTCATC